GTTGGTTTTCACGAGACTCACCGGCGCATGTGCAGCGCTGACCTCATACGTCATGCTCCCGGAACTGTTTCTGTGTACAACTGTTGGCGCAAGCTACATTAAAGTGATTATTTTTATTTTACACTTTATTTTATGGATGGGTGCTTTTTATTTAAGTTCTTTTGGACTGAAGCAATGCAACACCCACTGAGTGGCATTAAACAGCTTGAAAGATCAAAGACAATTTTTAATATAACTCCGGCTGGATTCGTCTGAAAGAAGAAAGTCATATACACCTAGGATGCCTCGGGGGTGAGTAAAACACAAGCTAATTTTCATTTTTGGGTGAACTAACCCTTTAGGGTAAAAGTGGTTCTTTTTTCATTTTTTGGAGCAATTTTCGTTCTTCCAGTTCAAAAAGCAAAGTTGAACCAATGTCACGAAAAGTGACGTATATGTGTTAATTTGCAGTGGTGATTGGCTGCCGAGTTTTTCTCAGTATTATTCATGGGAATTAAATCTTATGATCCAATCACTGCGCTGTATTATGCATGAGGTTATCTTACAGCAGAGAATTCAAATTAGATGAAAGAGTTTCCACGCTGTCCGTTCATTTCTGTAAACATGACCGTAACAATATTTACTATGTAACAACACGTGGAGCACGCATACATGAGAGAGCGGTTTCTGCGTGGAACGCCGCGATGAGTTTAATAACACTCACTGCATGAATCATAGTTCATATCCAGACCAGAGCAAGCGTGTTTCAAGTTTATGTGAACATATTTCATATTCTCTGTTGCTCCGAACATGAACCGGCACTGTGTATGCACACATACACATACACATCATGTCTTCTTCAAGTGAAATACAATCAAATAAGGGCGCTGAAGCTGATACAGCGGTACATCTGATCATGAACGTGATGACACCACAGATTATTGTGATACACAGCAAACAATGATATATAGACCGAAAATTCAAAGAAGAGTAAACAGAAAGTAACTGCCTTTATTTTTTCTGTTTTAAAGATATTTTAATATTCATTTGTCTGTATAATGAGTGTGTTGTAGGTCTTTGTTTTATTGGTTGCTTTCTCCCCTCTTCCCACCCTCTTCACTCCCATTTTTCCAGTTTTAAACACCCATTTCTGGATTCTTTTTCAGATCTAAGG